GAACTTTAAACAAGTGCGCTAGAACTGAACCCAACAGAACCATAACCCACCCCTTATATGACCCTCAATACGGTGCGAACTTTAAACAAGTGCGCTAGAACTGAACCCAACAGAACCATAACCCACCCCTTATATGACCCTCAATACGGTGCGAACTTTAAACAAGTGCGCTAGAACTGAACCCAACAGAACCATAACCCACCCCTTATCTGACCTTCAATACGGTATGAACTTTATTTAACCAAGTGCACTAGAACTGAACCCAACAGAACCCTAACCCACCCCTTATCTGACCCTCAATACGGTATGAACTTTATTTAACCAAGTGCGCTAGAACTGAAAAATTACTACTCTGTCCTATTTTAAGGTAGTCTCCTTTGTAGCCTCTCCTTTTGTCGGACTTCCTGTCCCTCCCAAAAGAGGAGGGTGAAATTGGATGAAACCGGAAGTTGCGGCTGTGCGAGAGACTAATCTTAAGATGTAGTCATTTCAAAGATATATCGAAGCTATAGTTACCTATTCTCAGTAAGTTCTTTTTCAGACATTTGACTGCGAACACCTTCACGGACTCCATAAGGAGCTGCAAACAATGAAACATTGGTTAAAAAAAAGATAAATTAAAAGATAAATTAGAATTAAAACTTACGATCAGTGATGATTGCATCAAAGATAGGCGTTGGTCGAAGTACTTGCCTGGAAGCATCGGCCACCATAACATCCACAAACAAATGCTCCAAGCCAGCATTAATGAAATTAGTGCGAATTATTTCATCTCTTTCTGTAAAACAAACATCAATCCTGTATAAGTTTCTTTTTAGTATTTTCAACTCTTTTAATATCCATTCATTTATCAATCAGATTCAAAAGCTAATAAATAATCAAAGACCTCTTCGGACAACAGAGTACCAAAGTAATGATGTGACAAAATGTTTTTTTAACTTGACCTCCATATTCTAAAAGTGCATCATTTTTAATGCGATCTTGCTAAAGTTGAGTGTCCCAGTTCAACTCATAATCGAGATATAAGCGACCACAGACAAACGTTTATAAATTTACAAACGTTTAGGTATGTGATCACCCAACCATAATAGCGCTTATATCTTCGCTATCAATGAAACGAGGACACTGAAATTTGGTAGACAGATACTTTTTCCTTTTCCATTTCAACAAATCCAAACAATTCGAAAAAAACGTGACACTTCAGTACTCTATTAGATTATTGATCATGAACATCAATGTCTACTTGATAAATATATTCTTACAGTATTCGACTTTATAATTTACCTAGGAATACTTGTATTAGCAGATATCAAGATTCATTCATCTTCATTCATTCTTCACCTATTCATTACAGCAGAAACCGTAGCATTGTGATTTCAATTTTCAAAGGAAATTGTTGGGAAATCCTTCTGCGACTTGTGGGAGTAGCTTGATACAAATGAGCCTATACACCCTTTTAATAAGTTCCGAGGTATTGTGTTCTCCGCACTTGACGTCAAATTTATTCTTTTGAATTCCTTTTGTATTGAAAAAATTTCAAAAGAATAAATTTGACGTCAAGTGCGGAGAACTCATTACCTCGGGACTTATTAAAAGGGTGTATGACTGAACGAGTTTAGGAAGAGCTCACCATTCAGATCGCAGGAAGGACAATATCCAAACAAACTTCAAAATGAAGAAGTCGCGATGCAACGATTTACGCACTAAGATCAGTACTTACTTCTCCACTTGAACTTGCTTGATGCACGTGATGATTTCCCTTAAGGTGAACAAATGAGCAAACAGACAGGTTAATAAAAGAAACGAATGAATGAAACAATGAAAGAAGGGATGGATGAACAGATGGTAGAATGCAACGTTGATTTGAAACATGAATAGATGAATAATAATAATAATAATAATAATAATGGTTTAATCTTCCAAATATCAAATTGATACATAAGATACAACGTTAACAATAAATCTAATAAAATAATAATAATATGAAAGAGATACATTCTTATCATCATGATATATATATTTGTAAAAGTCCTGTTTTCAATATATATATAAATAATACTTCAATTAATTGTGTATTACTGATTACATTCATCATTGTTATGCTTAAAACTTCAAAACAATATTTTGAAAATAACTTTGTAATTGATTCATCTTGAATTGATAATAGGTATTGAAAAAGATCAAGGTCTTCAAATACGCTGAAGACTTGGTTTATCAACACTAGATTTTGTAAAAATGTTTTCCTTAGTATTTCGAGTCTTTCATGTTTACAAAACATTATGTAATGAAGTTCATCTCYTACAGAAGTCGAGCCACATAAGTTACACCTCCGGTCATCGTAAACTATTTTCTGATAGCGACCAGATTCAACTGGTAACTTATGAGACTCTTAGTTTTGTCACCGCATGGCGATGTCTAACATTACTAACGTTTTCAAGATAATTTTCAAACTTAAAATTTCTCTTTATTTTACAATAGGTACGAAGTTTTCCACCTTCATTTCCTTTCTGTAACTGATTGTTAAAATACAGAGAATAATAAGTGTTTAATTTAGATTTTATGAATTTACCAAAACTATGTAATTCATCTAAAGAAACTGTAAAATCATTGAGGAACTTTAAATCACACATATAAAGAAGATAGTTTGTAAAATTAACTCCTTGTTGATTTCTTTGCATACAAAATTTAGCTGCTTTTCCAACAAGGGTAGATTCAAATAAAGGATTATTTACACGCATCCAATACTTTGCCACCAAAGTTGAAATCTGAATAATTAATGGCGCTCTCCCAAGCTCTCCATAAATAGTAACATTGGTCGAATTTTTGTGTACACCTAGAATGCGTTTTATAAATCTTAGATGAATGAATTAAAAGGTAGGTT